GGAGGCATCAGCCATTTTGAGATGCGACCACATGGCTGCTGCCTCTCAAAATGGCTGCCACCTCTCCAAAATGGCTGCTGCCTCTCTGCTGGTTCCTGACAGTCAGCTGTTTGGTGCCGATGCTGTCCTTCCTCCAGCAAACCCTCGCTCTCTCCCAGCGAAAGGAACCAAAAGCTGCAAAACGAACTCTCCCCATGATGCAGCCAAAGCAGAATCACGGAAGAGGGAGTAGTCTTATACGGCAAGTATATAACAAACTCTACATTCTGAGTGGGAATGTTGGGGGGCCGTCTTATCCTCCCAGTCGCCTTATACATCGACAAATACGGTACTCAGTTTTTTTCAGATGATCCAGCAGATAAATTATTGGTTCTCTAGGTATGTTTTTCATACCGTGTTTCCCTGAGAATAAAGACAGGGTCTTATATTAATTTTTGCTCCAAAATGCATTAGGGCTTAGTTTTAGGGGATATCTTATTTTTTTTCACGTACAACAATCTACATTTATTCAAATACAGTCATGTCATCTTCTAGATGCTGTACAATGCTGCACAATAGTTGAGGGTGGGATTTCACTTAACTGGGGCTTATTTTTGGGGTAGGGCTTACATTAGGAACATCCTGAAAAATCATACTAGGTTTATTTTCAGGTTAGGTCTTATTTTCAGGGAAACAGGGTATATAGTCAGTTCTTATTTTCAGGGAAACAGGGTATGTAGTCAGCCCAGTTTTTAGAACCAAGGGGATACATGAAGCTTAGGAGAAAGATGTTAAAGTGTGTCACAATTAGGAAATTTTGTGTTAGTACATAGACAAATACCCATTTTAGAACATTGTTAATTTTAAATATAAGTGTTATTGATAATTATTTAAATTTACAATACATCTTTTTATAAATTTTCATAAGTTTTAGCAAGTAAATCAAAAAGAAACAGTAAATTTACTGCATTCATTCTTGTATGGATTTTAATTGAATTGAGCATTACATTATATTAAAAATTTTCAAGTAGTTTTTCTGTACATGTTATGTGCTGCATATACCTGGGGGCAGGAAAGTTTTAGGGGTAGGATCATACTTCCGCACTATTCGAGAGCATGCTGGGTAGGTGGGGCTCATCAGCCTTGGAAGGCAGCCCATCTAGGAGAAGGAAAACTTCGATTTCAAACATCCACTGCCTTGTGGCTATATCCACTGATGGAAAAGGCTTCAGAAGTTAACCTCGAGGCAAAATCTGGAGCCGGAGTCCCGGAGGCAGTTCGTGTTGTTCTGGCAACTCCTGTGACATCGCTGGAACCAGTTGTATTGGCTCTTGCCTTTCCATTGGACTATTTCAGCGATGTGGAGAGGGGGCAGTTGCTGCTTGGGTAACAGCCTATCCATATTATTTTACCCAGGCTTCATGC